TGTTCAATAATTTAATGTAACAAAATGTAGATATTAGCAATTAGAACAGAAGAAGAAAAACAATATAATAAAACTGTGGAAAGTTTTTGTGCTTTGAATCTATAATCCATAGTGATCCCCGATTGTGATTTCCTGAAGCCGCTTTATATTTTCAACACGCAGGGCAGAATTCTACATTAAGAGGAGGGAAATGGATGCTCTATACTGAAGAATGAGATAAGCACAACATGGATAAAAGGATAAAATATTCGGTAAGAAAAGAGAAGAGGATGAAATAAGCGTAAAAAGTGATGGGGAGTGATGAAAAAGGAGTAAATGTAGAAATGCAGAGAAAAGTGAAAATAATGATTAGGGATGAGCAGCAGCGTCTAACCGGGACCAGACACTGACGACGGGTTTGTGTTGGAAAATGTGAATAAAACCAGCAGAGTGATAACCACCACTTTGAAATAATATTCAGACCTCAAATCCTTCTGAGGTAATTTGTGTTTGCATTTGTGTTTTCTGTGGTTCTGACCTCAACGGGCATTTTTAATTACTTCTTTCTAGAAAGAGTCTCAAGGTCAGGCGCTGATTTGGGATGGATTTTATTTAGCGTGCGCCGATGTGCCACGCAGCCGCAAGCTTTAACGGCCTGTATGTCACTCTGTTGTTGCCATGGAGTCTCCCAGGGTGAGGACGGCCATGAAAAATAAAGCTTATTTTAATTAACTAGAGAACATTGTCCATGTGTGTTTTCCTACTCTCACAATAAAATGTTTGACATCAGAGGTCAGTACATTTATAGGACGTTTTCTTTAAAAAAATACCTCTTAATAAAAAATAAACATATTTTTGATATGTTTTATGACATTTGGAATTGAGCTCAGGTGCATCTGGGAGCTTCTCAGAGGCACAGTTGTCTAACAGCAAGAAGGTTCAAATCCCAACCTGAGGTCTTTCTGCATGACGCTTGCATGTTCTCTCTGGGTATTCCGGTTTCCTCCCACAGACCAGAACATCACTGCTCGGTGAATTGAACACTCTAAATTGCCCCGGGTGTGAATGTGCGTCTGGTTGTTTGTCCTGTATCAGACCCTGCTGGGTTCCTGAGTCGAACTTTTTGAAAGAGCATTTTTGATCTTTGATGTTGACTCCTGAGTATCTGCAGTCCATCACACCCACTTTCAGCTCATTTTGTTACCTTTTGATCTTGTCTTGTCACAACCTCAGGTTTTTGCTGACAGAAGTATGCCTTTTGTGACTTCACCATATTTAGACTTTTATATGAATTTCTTCCTAATAAGTTCTATCATTTTATCCTGTCTGCTGGGTTCTAGTTTCTGGGGAAAATCCTTACTGCTGGTGTTGGTGACGTATTTCTTTTTTCCACATGCTTCACTATGTGCAGACACCTGAAGCGTTCTTATTGAGGGAGTCTGCTGGGCATGTCTGTGCAAAGATACTTTCACAACCACATACTCGGTATCGCAAAGTAAACTGCCTGACAGAAACTGCTGTTTATGTCAAACATGTTTTGCATGTTCTATTGAGCTGATTAGCTTAGAGTTGGGACAATTTGTTGCAAATATGCATAATGGCTGGGCTGCCTATTTGTGTTGCTCTAAAAGGTGTGCACTGGCTGCCCTGGAGGAGAAAAATCAGGGCTAGGCGCCCAATCAGCTCACTGGGTTTTGTCAAACTCACCAAAGCCTTTAAAAAACCTGTCTCTCCCCCACCCCCTCACCTGTGGGGGCAGTGCATCAACAAGCACTGTAGGAAACATCATGAAAACCTCAGAAGAAGACACTTCGGACAACTTCCTTCTTCATAAAATGTAAACACAAATGAATTGGAGTCAGATTTCAGTAGTTGTAGAATTTCTTTTTTGTCTTTGGTAAAAGACCACAAGTCTTTTCTCCTCCTTGTGCTGAACTTGTTTTGGTTGTTTTTACCCAACGTTCACTTCTGATAAATCAAAACCGAGGGTTTAACCAGAAATGTAAATGAATATGGAGTAATGTCAAATTTTAGCGTTTGTAGGATTTCTCTTTGACTCAAATGTGTTAAATTCTCTTCAATAACTGGCTTACCACACAAGCAATTTCTTACACTAATGTCAGACCAACACACACACGCACACATGTGTTTTTGTTGTACTTACCCAGACTGCCCTGCGCTATAGTCTGCCAGTCAGAGTGGTCTCCGAAAGGGTAAAAGGATAAAATATAAAAATCTGTTCACAAACTCACCAGAGTTCACTTCAACCGAGTTGAGACAGAGTTTTGTAGGCGGACCAGAGTTCGATTGTTCATTCACTTCTCCCCAAACGAACCCAACTTATAGATAAACAAACTAGAGTTGGATTAAAGCGACTGAACAGAGCTGTGTGGATTGTGGGTATTGGGTCTATGTCACCAGTTAGAGGGAAGGTATTTCATTTTGCCCTACCTCTTTACCCCTGACCACCTGGCCAGAACAGCCAGGCGGTCGCACCTGGCTGTTCTAGGTTGTTTGTTTGGGGATGATTTTTATAACTCCTTCCAATTCCTTCTAATTCATTGGTAGAATTTAAAAACTCTGCAGTGATGTGATTACCCTTCCTTGCAGCTCCTCTCCAAATACATGTATTATGCCATGCTTCATGCTATGAGTGTTCTTTCTGCACCATTTGGTTTATGTGCAGCAGTAAAATCGGATTTACCCAGGCCTGAGAGCAGAAGTACGTGCAGATTGCTGCATCCTGAGAGACAGATTTATTATTGCTTTGTTCTTCACAGTTTAAGTCACAGCTCAGAATATCCATCATCTGCCTGAGTGACTAAGAGTCCCTCTGATTCACTTCTCTTTCTTTTCTCAGTCTTGCTCTTTACCACCTTTGTCTTGTTACAACTTTCAGAGAGCTACTGGTTTATTAATGCAATCATTTCATCAGTTCAGGTCTTTTCCTTCAGAGTTTCCTCCTCCTGTTTATTCATTCCTATCTTCTCTCTCTCCCTCTCTTCTCTTTTTTCCTGGCCCTGCAGTGTTTCAGCAGTGGCATCATGTTGGCTAGCTCAGCAGTTTCTCCCCCACCTCTTTCCTGTATTCTAATGGCACTGCGGTAGCTGAAGATGTTCGTAGATGTCCTTGTGAAAACCTTTTCCATGGGTCGTTTCTCAGACTCATGAAATAAATAATGCAGATTGTGTGAATGACAAAGAGATGAGTGGATGTCACTGCTTGAGCTGTATTGACCGGACTGAAGGGCACAGTAATGCATCAGATTCTTTGGCTCTTTGGAGTTATGAGCAACATTTTTATCCATTTGCTTTATGATTGTTTTCTAAGTTTGAGTCAGATAGAAAGTTGGGTGGATTGGCACTTAGTAGAGATGCACCAATCTAATTCTGTTCTTTGTGCTCTGAGCTTGAGCATGCTTTTTATATTTAGCAAGGATGCACAATATAACAAAGATATCGGCCAATATAAGATAAAAATGACGATATAAGTCATTTTTGTAACATATCTGTTTCAGTCCGATAAATAAAACTGGGTCAATATAAACAACTGATATTTATATTGATCTTGTTGCTGTCTGTTCTGGTCATTTCCGCTTCATCCCCAAAGATGTCACAACAGAAGTGAAATACATATAGTATCTGTAAATATTGTTTTTTGGACATAACAACATTAATATTAGAGAACAATAGGGTCATATCAGTGCATTCCTAATATTTAGAATCCCTAATTACACTTTCTGAATCATTTGAAATAATGTTTGAGGAAGTTTTTTTTTTGTTTGTTTTGTTTTTTTTTTTACATATTTGACAAAAGTGGTCATCTATTGTTTTTGTCAGTTTCAGTTTCTTTATTATTTATTTTACGTTGGCTGACTGAACAAATTAAAGTTGTTGTTGTTACATGTTTGACCAAACTTGGGATGTTATTGGTGTATGGAAGTGTATTGTACTGGTGTAAAGTTATCAAATTAATTTCGAATTCAGAACATTTATTTACAAAAATGTATGTGTAAATTCAGCTGTTTTTCTGTGTCGTGTCGTATTGATTGAAATTAAACCTCAGATATCAGTATAAACGTCAGTATCTTAAGTAAAAAAAGGAATCTCTCGGATTCAGCAGTATTTGACTAATTGTGTCAGGAGATGTCACTATGAAATATCGTCCCTATTCCTTTTCGCAGATTTTTGTTTTACATAAATTAAGTGGAAATCACAGTAAGTTGTGGAAATGCACAGAATTGGCTGATATCTGTGAGAAGGGCATAATATACTTGCTTTGGTCACTACAGCTCCCATACTCACCGTTACAGGTTTAGGCCAGGCTTGGCTCTGGATCTCTCCTCTCCACACAGACACACTGCAGTGGTCAGCCATGGTGAGAAAGCTCTCAAATACTGACTCCCTGCCCCAGAAACCTAAATAAATAACTTGAAGCTTAGTGCAAAATTCAGGAAGCTGCATAATAGCAGAGCACTGGGAGAAGGAGGAGCAGCACAGTTCTGTTCCACAGATGTGTCATGCCATCGTGTCATAACATGGGGACAGTTTCAACAAATATTTAAAACAATAAATGCATAAAAAAATAAACAAAACTTTTTCTAAAAGTTTCATAGAGCTTTAAACCCCTTTCAAAAGTAAATCATTACAAATCGTGTAAAATAAACTTGCACAACGGTAAATATTTTTTGTTACTCGCCTTATAGATCATTGATTATAATTGGACATGCAGTAAAGCTGAGGCATCAATGTAGCAAAAGTGGGAAATACTGCCACCTGCGGGTGAGAGTTTGCATCATTTAAACCATACGTTCTGGACATTACTGCAGAAAATTTGTATTAGTGTGAAAAAATGTCATTTCTGTTGTTTTTATGTGAATTTCCATTAAAAAACTGGACTGCTGGCTCACAGGGAACAGCTGATGAAACATGGACGGATGGTTTCAGTGACCATGTAACTCATATTATGGTCTTATGAACTTTTTAATAATCACAATGTCTCTGCTGGGCGTCTCTCTGCAGATGGGAAGGTGTTCGCCCTGGGCGGAATGGGAGCAGACACAACACCTCAGGCTTTTGTTAAAGTCTACGAAGCAGAGAAGGATCAGTGGCAGACCACCACCTCCATGCCTACGCCACGCTACGGAGCCACGCCCTTCGTAATAGGAAACAGAATTTACCTGATGGGTAAGATAACACTACAACATTCACTCTCTGTGCATTCACTGGATTCTGTAATGGTGATTCTCCAAACTCTCCAAGCAGTCGTACCCAAATTGATATATTTCTCAAAACTGAATGGAAACACTTATTTCTTTATGTCACCCCAGTTTGTGTACAGCAGGAACACACTCATTTGTTGCCACTTGCATTCTTTGTGCAGCTGTATGTATGAAGAAACTTTTGCACATATTTGTAATTTAAACTCAACTAATTTTGATGTCTGGAACTGAGTTGTTGAGAATGTCTTTCACAGATGTTGGTGGTTCATCTAGGTTTAACAAAGGGATCTGTTTTTGTTTTCATTCAGATATTGACACGAAGCTGAGATTATGGGATGTGCGACTGTTGCTGCACCACAAATTTTTCAGTTTTGACTTTTTCTGTCTGGCATTTTCCAAGCTGTGAAACTGACTGATAGAAAGAGAAAAATGTGTTTCTCAGGCTGAAGAAACACTCAAAATCTTTGTACAGTTGCCACTAGTAGAGCTGAGCTTCTGCTAAAAGCTGCTCTGTAGATAAGAAAAAGGCTGAATCTATTAAGAGACTGATTTTGAGTTTCCGCCTAAACTTTATTTTACTTCAAGAAGACTATGCTTGCTCTTTCACACTGGGTAAATTCTTAACTATCCCTAAATGAAAGCCCTTGAACTTTTAAATAGAAGCTCAATTTAACTTTTGTATCCTGTTGTCACTGAATGAAAATCCTACACGGACATTAAAAACCCACTGGATGTTGATTACTGTTGCAAGGTCTTGGCTAGTATTTCAGGAGTGCAGGAACGACAAACTTTATATTTTATATCATTGTCATTCTTACTTGGTTTTAAATTAATGAAATGCAGATGTGCAAGACGGTTAAGCTTAACCTTTTTATAAAAACAAAAGTAGAAATAATCAGCAGATTGCTGGTTTGATCCCCGCTCCTCCTGTCTCTTGTTATTGGGCAAGACACTTCACCTGCCCTGTCTTGGTGTGGGGACTTCTGTCCACTAGCTGCTATCCAGTGAACATAAGTGTGAGTGTGAATGGGTACACAAGTACAATGCCAAAGCCAAGCCAAAAATGGAACATGGAGCTTAGTTAGAATAATGAGGACGATTCTGGGAGGAACTGGTCCAAATACATGAAAAGCAGAACATTCACATAAACTAACAAACTATATGCAAAGGAATGATCTGGTAAGATGAGACCTTTTGAGCAGTAATAAATATAGGAACAGTACATGTCCTTATAAAAATAAACCGAGTTTCCATTATAAATGTGAGGAAAACTTTATCAATACTAATGTCGAAAAAACACAATTTTGCAATTGCAGTTTTTCCATTAAATGAAAAACACAATGAAAATCCCACATTGAGCAGTCATGTGTGACATGTCAATGTCATTCATTCATTGACATGTACAACCCTTTAAACAGCGTTGAGGCTCTCCTCCTGGCTCTGATTGGTTGTTTTTGGCCATGCAGATGGCAGTAGGACCACATTTTCTTACTCTTGTCCCTCTTGGTCGGGAAGTGCTAAACGTTTTGGTTGAGAGACGGGGTCACCTTGGACAGGTCACCAGTCTGTTGCAGTTTAGAAGACATATTTATGTAAAAGTTAAATGCTGCAGTTTTAAAAGGGCAAAAACTGATTGACATATTGAGCTGACGTTTCTTAAAGTCAAACATGTTAAATGTTTAGCAGGTAATGTATCCTGAAGGAAAATGATTAGAACTCCAATCCTACACAGTAAAAACGAAAGTGTTATTTTAACACCTATAGAGTTGAAATTAACTCCGTTTCGTATAACATTTGGTCCCACTCGAAAATAGTGTAAAATGTACTCTATAGCCAGTGTAAAATTTTCAGAGTTAATTTGACTCATTTTAGTGTCAAAATCAACAAGTCAGTGAGTCAAATTATTTAACACTGTAGCTTGTTTACACTCTTCAGAGTAATGCTATAATTTTTATGGAGTTGATTTTACACTAAATTTACTTAAAAATTTACACTTTATGGTGTTTTTTTTTTTTCCTTTCTCCACTTTTTTTTTATTACACATATACCATTTAGCATTATATGGGTTTTAAAAAATCTACTAATCACAATAATCACAAAGTTTTACGTTCACACTGACATTTATTCAACTTTATGATCCAGTGACATCATTACTGTAACAGTGTCAGTTTACACATCTTCAAAACAATGTTCACCAAAGATAGCAATATGGGACAACAAAAAGAGCAGTGTCAGTTGCTTCATATGAGATTTGTATGTCAAAGGGCTTCGGATAACATAGATGGTTGACATCAAACACAACAAAACCTTGCATCATTTTAGTAACTTCATAAGCATGAAAATGTTCATGAAAAGCTACTGTACATAAAGGTAATGTAAGCAACAACAATTTGTTTTTGAAAAGGAACACAGACTTTATCTGGTAAAAGACAGGCATTTCAGATTCAACTTTGCCACAAATAACCAGATGAGGACGGTAGATAAACCCACTGTGCTTTGCCCAGTTCACTTTCATAACTTGAACCTCAGGAGACACTTGCACTGCCTCAGAAATGTCAGAACCTCCTTTTATCATGTTTAAAGATTACTGAGAATAAACATTTTTGTAAGGTGAAACCCCACCATCTTCTACAGATTTAAAAGAATCACTAAGATGACATCTATTTAGATGTTTTCTAAAACCAGAAAAGCTACCAAAAAAACGTGAGCATCCAACTTCACCACATTTAATATGGAGAGTCCTGCCAGAACAAAGACCATGGATTAGTTTAAGGTGCTTAACTAGGCTGTTTGGGGCATCACTGTCACATTTGCAGATGAAACACTTCATTGTTTTATGTGACACTAATGGAGCATTCTTGCTCTCAACTCTGCAACTCTGGGCGTTTCTTTTGTTTCTCCAACATCTATGTTGTAGACAGTTGTTTGGAGAAAGGTGAAGAAGTTGGTCAAGGGAGCACTGTATGATGTACCAAACACATAATGGGCCTTAAAGAGCTCAAGAGCTCCAACTGAACATGTTGCCTTACATGGAATAGCATAGTTGTCAATCACAATGAAGAATGCATGAATACTGCTTTGGATGGATCCCTGGGCAAGGAGGTAGGGCTGGGTACGTTGCGTTATCTTGTCAAGATGCTGCTGTACACTGGTTCCAACCTACATTAATGAAATAAATGAAAACATGAAAAAAGTATTTCGTAACACATTTCTGAATGACGATCAGACAGAAAAATTTTAAATTGTAAAAATGAAGAGATTGAATTATGCATTTTTATCTTTAAACAACTGTCTAGCAGTACCTTTAGAAATCTGATGAGATGATCCACTGCTTGAGATGCAGACATCTTACCCGGCCTTTTTCGCCCTTGTGCAGATGATGGTAGCAGATGCAGCAGAAGCAAAATAGCAGACATGTCACTATCCCAACCTACAGACCAACAGCTTCAGGTTACCATCATACCAACATATGAATTTGTCACAATTAGGTCCAACATACCATTGTCAGCTTCAGCAGCCAGCTCTGCATTCCGCAATAAAGCCAAGAGCTCTGTGGTGGGTACCAGACCATGGCTTTCCCTTATAGCCTTGGATTTGAGACTGGTGGGCCACTTCTCCAAAAATTTGTTGGCAGTGCCTTCGCCAAACAAGAGTTTGAAATCTTGTTCTATCTGAAATACAAAAATAAAAGCATTTCACAGTGAGAAAGAAGGTAAATGGCCTATACTTGTGCAGTGCTTTATGAAGTCCAGAGGACCCCAAAGTGATTTACACCACATTTAGTCATTCACATGCTGATGGTGGTAAGCTACATTGTAGCCACAGTTGCACAACGGAAGACTGCTGCCAATGCTGCCATGTCCTTGTGTCACCAGGCCTTCTGAACACCACTAGCAGACAAGGCAGGTGAAGTGTTTTTTCCCAAGGACATGACAATTTAGAAAGAGTTGTGGTTCAAACTGGTAAAACAAAGGTTACAGTACAAACTCATATGACTGATGCCATTGAATATTTTAGTAATGTCAGACATAAACCTGTCTTACCAGTCCTGGTGTGTCCAGAAATCGTGGAAAGACAGAGAAGACATTCGATGCTTTCTTTTCATCATTGACCATTGAATGACGGTAATGGAAGGTATCCATCATCTTCTCACGGACAGTGTCATCATCAGCAGAGTGTTTCAAAACAGCAATAGCTGCTTCCACTTCCCTCACAGCACTTTGTCAGCAGTGAAAATCCTGGATTGACCATGGCCTGGTCCACCACCTTAAAAACAAAAGTTTAGAACTCCCAGCCACAGATTTTACATTACTTTACCTATACTCACTGTTGAGAAAACTTACTTTTGGGAGATCTTCTACTTGAGGCAACCCTTTCCTCTGAGGTTTTTCTTTGAATGGTCTTTAAACGCCATGCAAGGTATCCTGAACCGCTCTCTGGATCATAGTAATGCTCCTATATAAATAAATACAAGCAGACTTATCATTCCATAAACATTTTTGAAGGTTAATATATTTACTTAATGTTGCTAAGACCCTTTTACTTACATATCCATGTTTTGAAAACGGGTCCTGTAGATAGGGAAATAGGGCAACAATGCCCTGAGCATACATCACTCTGATGCTTTTAGGAGGGGATGATCTGATACATGATCAAACAATGAGTCACTAAGCTGACGTTTGGAAAAAATAATGAAAAGCAATTCAAAACCAAAATGTTTCTTTATAAGTATGATTCTTACCCATGCGCTTCTGTCATTGCAGCTGTAAGGATGTTTATCATCTGTCTTCTGGTTGCATCTGTCAAGCATTTAGTTCTTGCATACTCTTGCATAATATGCTCACCACCAGGCTTTGTTGTCAAGATTTGTTCAATCAACTTCAATTTCAAAGAAAAAAATATTAAAAACTTGAACCACTAAACCTAGAAAGTACATAAACAATGCTAAATTAAATATAATAACTTGCCGCTTGCGCCTCATAATTTATGTGACATGGCCTTTTAGGTTGACTTCCTTCAGCAGTGGCTTCTTCTGATTGGTCACACATTGTGAAATTCAGAATGACAGTGTCATCAGATGTAACTGATGATGATGATGATAGAAAGGCACCTGCAAAAAGTAAAGCAACAGCATATTTAGGAGAACTCTAATGCTCCCAAGCCAGCTTCCACATTAAATATAAATACATTGGTGAATTGACATTGATTACCAGGATCTTCTTTGTTGCTCAACATAACTCGAAAGGTTCCAGGTGTCTCATTCACAATTTCTTCAAAAACATCTACATCAACTTCTGTATCAGACTGGTCATATACTTTCAGGTCTTGTCTGCCTTCTGGAATGTTAAATTTCAGACAAACTAAAGCAGAAAGAAATATTAAACAAGTGAAAATGAAAACATTCACAGCTGATAAATGTTTTCGGTTGAAATAAGTAGAGTAACCCCACTAATTTCACAACATGTCAGTGAGTTCAATTTAATTATTTTACTAATGCACTAACCTTCTTTCAGGAATGCATCAAATGTTAGGTCAGAAAGTTTCACGTACTTCTGCTCCCCACCAAACAAAACACGCAGTAGCATGGTTTGTTCTATTTAAAAAAAGAAAAAAAGAGAAAAAATAAATAACCATGACAGAGATATTTAAATAGTTAATAAATGTGCTTCAAAGGTAATGCCATTTGAAAACTGAATTAATATTCCGATACAATTGAACATTATCTGTACAAGCAATATGGCGCCTGTTAGCTGCTACATCCATGGCGCTAACCATGCTAACGTGACTCGGTGGTGCTACGACCCCGAAGTACCCGCAGAATGTGGTTCTGTGGCATAATGTACAGTGATTAACACTATTACAATTTATAACAGTTACGTATACTTACATTGACAGCCTTAAGAAAAACTTCGCAAATATTTCGCTAACATGTCTAGCATATAGGGCTATCCCTCGGCTGTCGCCCTAACACCATACAGCTTTCTCTCGCTACCCTGACTGTGAACAACGGAATAAAACGGGTATAGAAATTAGGAGACATGGAGGGTTTTTCACCACTAACAAACTGAGCCATGGTGCCAAAACCATTTGCTACGCGAATGGAGTATGCTAGTAGCATAATAGTTGCGAACATATTTAATGGATAACAGAAGCTATAATATCGTTCTTCATCACAATTAATATTAAAATAAATTACCGGATTGTTAAAAGTTACTTACCTTTCTTGTAGCACAACTCCGTTAAGAATCCCAAATGGAAATGACCGTTTCACGAACTTTAGAAAGCTGGTGCTTCCTCCTCCTCCTCTTCCTCTTCGCGGTTGGCAAAAATCTTTACTGGCGCGTTTTTGACACTTGACAGAGTCAAAAGTTTCACTGCGTGAATGTAGGATTTTACTCTGACTTTTAACTCCGACGTCAGAGCCGATTTACACTCCATATAGTTATAAATACTCTATTTCGATTAAATTAGGTTAACACTGAAATATTAACACCGCAGTTTTTACTGTGTACAGCCATGCTGTGTAATAAGGAGACAAGATGACGTCTGTTCAATTTCAGACTTAATTTTAGTCATTAGAGACTTAGACTTAACTTACACTAGGCAAAAAGGACGTGTGAACATCTCTTTTTCTTAAAGTTAAAGCACTACTGACTCAGAATCTGAGCTGTCGAATCTTTTGTCCGTTATGCTTGTTTCGTTGCCCTCCTCCAGGCTTTAAATAGAAATCCCACAGACTGTGACACCACAAAGACAAAACCTTTTTACAAGCCTGTCGAAGTTGTCCGAGGCTTTACTCATCTTTACTCCTGACAGCAACGCTGCAGGATTTACGAGCCACCAAATGAAGAACCCTTTGCTGGGTTTCGGTTTGTGCGCTGTGTCAAGCATTGCCGCGCCGGTTAGAAGATGGGATTCTTTTTGAAAACACTCCATAAAAACAATGTGAGAGATAAGCTCAGGAAGCTAATCCATCTGAGTAACAGTGGAGTTAATGATGACTGGCAAGGCAGCGAAAGATGGCTGGTTTAACGTGCATCCTCGCAATCATGACTCATACAAGTCAAGTATACATATGATTTCATCTGTTTATCTACAAATCTATGGGATATTTATGTTGCTGATTTCATAACCACAAATCCTGATTATTACGTCTCCCTTAGTATCTTGCTTCAGCTCGCTGTTCCCTCCACCGCTAAGCGCTGTGATTGTGAAATGTTTTTCCTATCCTGTCCACTCACGCTGTTTGTTCACCTGCTGCTCCTGGAGGGGCCGTTTCAGGATCAGTGGGTATCTGAAGCCTCTTCGGTTTAAATTTCACCACTTTTCAGTAACTTGACGTAAAAGGGCAGTGTTATGTGTTTGCTAGGCACGTAGTGCCATTTTATAGCACAGTCAAGGGACTATGTTTTCTTCAGTTGTTATAAATATGATATGAAATTTGGTTTAAAGACAATTTTACTGCAAGTTAAAACCTTGAAATTGGGCCTCTCTGAAACTCTGCCGTCAGCAAGTTATCATAACATGAGTCCTCTACTAATCCTTTAACAGCATTTTTACAAGCGTTGCACTGAGAAGTATCTCAGACAGTGAGATCACAGTTCCACCAGGGGTTTACTAATTTCTGCTGGCTATTCTGAAGGAGCTGAGTGGCAGGGAAGGACTGCTCTGTGAGGTGGAAACTGCAGCTTTAAAGGCAGAGCTCGGTCCACCCAGGCATTTGACACAGCTGAATGGTTGCCACAGGAGATTAAATGATCTCTCAAAACTACCTGAAAGAACTAAAGTAACACTCCAGGTATGTTTGTGATGAGGGAAGAGCATCATAACCGGCTGTAAAGCTGAAAAATGTAGATATTTAGGCAATAGTACTGCCTCTTTAAACGTCAGGCTTCACTGTGGGAGAGGCGAGAAAATATGGTCTCAATTTCTATGAATGGTTCTTAAGGTCAGGGATGATGGTCAGATTCAAGGATCAACGTCCTGAGTGTTAGTACACAGTGATGTCTATGATCTTATGACATGAAGTCTCAATAAATTAAACTAATGAAAGTACAAAAATATTCAGACTAATTTTAGAAGAAGCTTTTGAGGAGCTGAAAAAATATATCAATTCTAATCACACTTCCTAGTCTTGGAAATTTTTTATCTATTCAGCTTGCTCAAAAATAAATTTTAATCAACTTAAAACTTATTTTGAATAGTTACTTGACTTTTGTTGTTGTTGTTTTGTAAGAAAAAGCCAGATGGCTAAGCTAGCCCAATACTGGTTGCAGAATCGTCGCACAAACTTTCTTTTGTTCGAACAAAAACTGATGGAATTTAAAATTGAGTCGAATCTTTTAGAATTGTTTTTCATTTGTTTACATTGTCTTTTCCTCTTCTTAGTTGTTGCGAACTGAAAAAAGCAGGCAACATTGTACATTGAACTGTAATGCAAGCGACACCCGGCTGTCAACAGGGCACATGGGGTGACTGCCACTGACAGTTCCAGTGGCAGCCCTGATGGAGAAGAAACCAGGGTAGCCACCCGACAACCTCGCAGACTTACTGGCATTCAGTTAGGCTGTGGGAAAATAAAATGACTTTGTCACGAGAAATGTAGGCAATGGGTTCGCTCAACTATGAAATTTGAACTCTCTGTGAAGTGTGGACGCAGAGTTTACGTGGCTAACAGAATATTCACAGCACACCCCGATATGTCGGAGCCCTTCCTGGCTTAAAGTTTATTTTCAGAATTAAGTTGAACATGTTAATGTCAGTTACTTCTAATGTTTCTTACTTCTTCCTACTGCTTTTCGACCATGTCAAGATTACTGTGGTACAAAAACGTGTCTTTTGCATTCCTTGTTCTTGTGCATGATTTTATACTACTGTACTGTGATGTTCAAAATAAATAAAAGTAGAAATAAAAATAATAAATTATAAATATCAAATGTCTGTTTTTTAAAGGTTTTGTCGGCTCTAGTGGTTTTTATTTTGGCAGTGGTGAGGCAGGAAAGCAGATTGTGAGAAACAGAAACAACGTGGCAAAGGTCAACGGCATGAAGGCTTTTAGAGGCATAAGTGGCCGTAACACATTTCATCTCTGAGAAATTCTCTGTCTTTATGAACACGGAGTGGAAATGATGTCAAACGATCAAAAGCTGACAGAAGACGAAGTGAATACTATTATCGACTGTGAAATGCACCATAAAGGTTTCAGTTGGTTCACACAGGTGAACAAACAGGGTCAAGGTACAAGTAGTACTTTGTTCTTTTGACGTCACCAAAATCTATGAAGCACTTTGTTTGAGTTTTGGATGTTGTAAATAATTATAGGTCCATTGTGTTGTTGCTCCAAACTTGCTGTCTTTCACATAAAATCTCCCAAAATGCGCAAATAAAACATGAAAAAGTCATCGAGGCATGGATACTTTTGGCAGCAGTTCAAAAGTCTTCATGTAGAATATTGATCTAACGTCCGGATAACCTGCTGATTCACACAGCGGCCACATCCACAGTATCCTGCCGCATTCAACCGATCCTTTTTCTCTGAATCTCTTTCCTTTCTCTCACGCTAATGCTTCCCACTCAGTTCGACTCTTTGTCTCACTATCAGTATCGATCTCCATGTTATCCTGCCCACTCCAGCTGACCCTCTTCCACTTTCTTCTTCCACTCCTCCACATTCTCCTCTTTCAGCCACTTCTCTCTGCAATTTCTCTTTGTCACTCTCTCATTTGCCTCCGTTTTTGCTGTGATTTGCTCTCTCACCCTCTATTGATCTTCCTCTTATCTTGTAGCCCCTAGCAACTGCATCTTGTGTGTTTTTCTTCCTTCCAGCACCTTTCCTCAGTGCTTCTCCTCCCCCCTCTGTTGCCAAAATCCACCCTGTTCACTCAATAACCGATTAACATACTACTTTCTCTTTGTAGCAGTGTTTTCCAAGGTTTAGTTATGATTTATGAAGGTAAATAACTAATCTTAGTTATTCTTAATCTTAGTTGTTTACTCTGAGGGGAGCACCCTGCTGCTGCGCTTTGCTTTTCAACCCTAAATGAAACGTGGTCTCAAAGTTATTCTGCACACTTGGTAGATTTTGATATAAATGCCACTGAAACTATGTGACAGTGGAAGAAGATGAAGAGTGAAATTTCAAGCAGTAGCAGTGGCAGAAGTTGTCGACTTGTCCCTGTATTTTTACTCAACTAAATGTCAACCTTCTTGGAAATTCATTCACTTTTAAGTGAAGTACACCACAATTTGATGATACTTATTTATAAAACGTTTTTATGCTCTAATCCTGCAGCTCAAAAAGTGGGTGTGCAGTGACAATGACACAATGACAATATTATCCCAGGCTTTGGAACCCCAGTAAATCAAAGTAGCTGTGTTTCCATTGACCATACAATTCCATGAGTTGAGTTATAAAAATAAGTTTGCTGAATTGAAACAAGGCAATTTCTAAAAAATAAATAAATAATTGCGTTTTGGCTTTGTTGAAATGTCAGTTGGATTTCACAAGCAGGCATGAAGTTTGAGGACGACTGTTCAGGCATGGCTGGTTTGGATACGTTTTCTCTCCTAATATTGAAATCATCATTTTTAAACCACATTTAATATTTTGCCAGTTTATCTTGAAATTTATCTTGAATTTGCCTGATGATCTGAAATGTATAAGCAAACAGAAAAGGAAAAAAAAATCAGAAGGAAATGTGTAAAAGAGAGAATACTTTTTTTTTTTTACATTAGTGTAGGATGACATTATGACTGATATAAAAAGAAAGTAAGTTTTTATAAGTCTTTCTCCTCCTTCAGGTGGTCGTCAGGGAAAGATGCCAGTAACGGCATTGGAGGCTTTCGACCTGGAGATGAAGAGCTGGACTCGGTACCCCTGCATCCCCAGCCGGAGGGCGTTCTCGTGCTGCGCTACCAATGAGCGCAGCCTGTTCAGCCTGGGTGGGCTCCAGCAGCCGGGGCCTCATAATTTCTACTCCCGACCTCACTTTGTCAGCACTACAGAGGAGTTTGACCTGGATCAAGGTAAGTGGTTATTTAACGGTATTTACTAACATCAAGGTACAATTACGGATGTAATTCATATTTTATGTAAGGTACCTTACATACCTACCGACATACGTCGACCATTTTGGTCCAACTTTTCCACTGATGTGTAAAATAAATAAAACTCATTTATTCATTCCATCCCTCTCGCTCCCCCTCTCTTTTTCTTTTCCTCCCTGTGAGAGTGTAAGATTTTCATTAACACGCTGCTCAATGTAAATTAAGCACCAGTGTAGCTCATTATCCAATTGGTGCAATGATTGTGCCCGATTTCATGTACCACATAGCTGTGGAAGTGCCTTACTGCCTTACTTTTAATGAATGCACTCAAACTCATATTTGCTTTTCCCTCCGAATATAAGAATTTTATTGTGGATATATAAAGTTTATATAAAGCACAAAGACATTCGCTGTTGTGATTGTTGCAAGCTGGTTGCTGTGATGATTTATTTACATGCTGCAGTTTTCAGTGGATACTCCGACAGTCCTGAAAGGTTTAATTAATTTGACTACGGTAGACCAGTGACCTGTAATCTGTCTGCTTCACACTTGAACACGTTGACATTTTCACGCTGCATGAGTGTATTTAACCTTTTCCATTACAGAATACTAAATGAAGATGCCTTCTCTGCAGTCATTATTGCTTCCCTGAAAAAGTTCAGAAATTAATGTTTTTTCTTTTTTTTTTTTTGGTACATTTGCTACTTTTCTCAGCTTTCAAAAATATGGTGTGAACAAAAAAAAAATAAATAAAAAAAAACGAAGCTTTTTATAATGTCACCGTAAGAAAAATAATCAGTGTTGTGAACCTTCAAGCTAAATGCGTTACATAGACAGATTCACACACATACAACATTTTTCTCAGACATTGAGGATAGAAAATATTTGCTTTATGCATGTTAACATTTCTTTCTAAAGCAAGAACTCATGGGATATCTAAGCTGCTACTTTTCTAACTTCCTGCTTCAGCCAGCTTTACTGGAAGGATAATGTTGACTTGCAGTTAAAAAGAATCAACAAATGAAGACAATTTCAAATGTTTTTTTTTTTTTTTTTTTTTTACAGCGCTAATACTAGCAACAGTGTAGTTTCTGTTAGCTAAAATTATATCCATTCTTCCTGCTTTTTGGTCAAAAGTCAACAAGAAATTCAAACATATAAGCTCGTAAAACCTTATATTTTGTCCTACAGTGAACAGGAAGTGAGTAGTTGAACCTTTTCTCACACCTACCATCAGTCAGACATCAGCACTTTGTGCTGGCTGTGAGCAATTAAGTAACGTCTTCTGTTAAGGCTCAAAAGGTCCAAATAATCAATGCTTTGCTTTTTTTTTTTTTTTTTGGTACGGCTTTCAATTAAAAACTCATTTATTCATTCCATCTTAAGTGAATTAGGAATTTAATCTATTTAGCTTCCATAATGAAGAGAAGGATGATGGCTTCGTTCCTCTGCAGAGGAAAATAAGGATTTCTGATTAGAGGTGACTAAATCCAGCAAATACCAGTTTGATGAGGCAATAGTTAACAAGTTCTGGATTATTTGAAATGTTACCCAAAACAGATCAGGTTTGATTGACACAAAGACCTTGGACTTGGATCTGCTTTCATTACGAAGACTGTTTCTTCTGACGTTCTACATGTTGTTTGGCAACTATGACCCGTCTGATCATACTCCCATTCATCTTATGAATTTTAAAAGGTTAGTTTCATGATTTAACCTTCATTCATCTCACTCCTCATCAAATAAGCTTTTACCAACTCAAGTTAAATGTGTCTATAAAGCTCACGGTGAGTGTATGTGAACAGCAATGCATTTTTTTTAAAGCTGCGTTCACAATTGTTCCTATTTTGCTACGTATTCAGTTTAAAACTCACACACAGCAACAGAAAATAAATGAATGAAGGGGATTTTGTAAATCAATTAGCCCTGTCATGTCTTTGAGGGACCTAAAGGTACGCAGAACACAAGAGAATCAAAAGCAATAAATATAACTGTCATGTCTTTGAGTTATATTTATTGCTTTTGATTCTCTCGTGTTCTGAGTACCTATAGGTCAATGACAGTCATAGTGTTCTGCTGCATCATGCATGAGTGTGTTACTTTTTCATTTCTTTCTTTTTCTAGAACTTGCTGACAATTCTGAGTGTATCACTATAATACAATGAGTGCCTCCAAGGGGTCAGATAAATTAGACATGAAGTGATACTGTTAGTTTCTTCGTATGTTTCATGTATGTAGCATCCTGAGGTGAGTGAAGCATGTGCATAGAAGAAACTGAGCATGAATAATAAAATTAGTTAATTGCTGTGATCTATACCTCTAAACAGCACTGATTTTGTAGCTGTTGTGAACATATATGTGTGATATTTGAGGTTGGTGACACTTGTAAACATGGTTGGTTTGTTTGGTATGCTGCACAGTTAAATGTGCAAGTAGCAGGGCTGGATGAAATGGCTGAAAAATGTATCACAATATTAGCATTTCATATCAGTCAAGATCAGTAAGTATTGATTTGTTTTTGTTTTAAATATCTGAACTACTGGGGACATGTCTGGATGTGTGACTGGAAAGTCTTTCTTTTATCCAGTTTTCTCTCCACACCATTGTTTTTTACTTTTAATCAGATATGAGGCCCAGTGGCAAAACCTGAAACTGCTACTGTGCAAGTTACTCAACAAATTGTTGGAGCTAACCAAAGAGTGAGTGTGTTAGTTGTGTGTGTGGTTAGTTGTGTGTGTGCAGTTCAATGAATATTAAATATTGAATATTCTATTGAATGTATTATCTACTGATATTGATCGTGTATATCAGGAATATATATTGTTATTGTTTTTTTAAGTGTTTTTGACTTTTTTTCTCATGTTTTCTTTACTTTGGACACTTGGGTAATCTTTAGTCACATTTCTTTTCTTAAAAGGTGCATTTCATTTCACTGTGGATTCCTTCTGTTGTTTGGGATTTACATCTTCTTATCTCTGTCATTCCCTTTTCCATTTATGTTGCTCTGAGTGTTTTTCTTCCTGATGTACTGGGGCAGCATCGCTGTGACTGACATGCTGAGATTATACATCTTGAAAGCAGAGGCAAAAATAAAACTACCAAGAGGGTAGCTATCAAAGCAACATTCACAACTGCAGTTTCCTTCTCATATAAAAATGCTGCAGCCTGACACAGAGCGGGAAGTAGAAAAACATGCAAATCAACTCAGCTTCATGTGTGACTTCGTAACTCGCAGGCATGTATGTGAATCTGAAAAAAAAGGTTGCATGATTAGGCTTTTTATTAGAAGTTGTGACCCCAGAAGGCAGTGAAAACACAGAGCAGGTTCATTACCTGTTCATGTTTTCTATTTACTAGAAAATGTTAAATCACCATGATTTGCATTTAAATGTTCTCCACGTCAGCAGTCAGTGCTGCAGAGGAACACAGAGGCAAGCAGGGTTAATGGATGTTCTGGTGCTGGCTGTCAGTGAGTCATTACTGTGGGGAAGATACAGTATCACTGACTAAAAGCTGAAAAAGATACAGTAGCTCTTTAATTATTATCACTGCTTTTAGAGTTCAGGCACCTTTCTTTTAGATCATCAAACATGCAAGCATAATAAACATAAAAGGCTGACCTGACGTAGTGATTAACTGGGTTGCTACCTCAGTACTACACTGTTGTGTGTCAGTGTACGTGCGTGTATGCAAGGGTGTGTATGTGTGTGTTTTTAAGAATAACTATTGGGAAGATTAAACATTCACGCAAACTTTGCATGAAAATTCCTTATGCTCCTGAATCTGACCCTCGATGTCTGGCAAAGATTTCAGTAAGATAAACTGTATTTACTGTGACATTGGTAGTTTATTCAGCCAAAACAGTGAGAGAGAGAGAGAGAGAGAGAGAGAGAGCAAGACTTTGAACAAATAACAGAAAGTCAAATTGAGCATTTGAAAATTTCAACCATTATCTGTAATAAAAGATACTGGGTTTGAAAATGTTTTGAAATGAACTGATCTGGCAAAACCATTGCCTGGTAAAATCACGCCTCTTGTTCTTGGGTTTGCAGGTGGAACACTATTCTAAAACAGCAGAAAGTCAACATCACTTTTCTACAGCCTCTCCTTCTGTTCACTGGAGGAATCCAAAAAAGCCCAGACTGGCTGTGATTACAGAACAGCATAATAAGTCAATAGCCAGGCTAGCAAAACCTAACAGCAATAGTAAACAACTGTATATGGCAAGACATTTTCTAACCAAATATATAAATGTGATTGCCATTATTTTTACTTGAAAATTTCGTCCAAGCAACAAATTATCATTGATTGCGATAACTTCTCGAACGCCTTCTCGCCCAGTAAAATTTGTTATTGTGGCCTAATTGCTGCTGTTTTATCTTCTTAAGCTACTGCTGTTCAAGAGGAACTACAATCAGCTAAAATATGTATCAGCAGTTTTACAAAATACATGTTCAATGAAAATCCAATTTCATTATGTTTACCAACTTTACATTTTCTTTCAAAATGTGTGCGGCGGTGGTGCTGGGGTAAAGCGTCCTGAGGCCTCAGTCCTTGATGCAGCCAGCACTGGTCTGAGTCCCGGCCTATTGACCTTTGCTGCTTGTCTTTTCCCTCTCTGACAACCTATTTTCCTGTCATGTTTCTGTCAAATAAAGGCTAATAGAGCCCAAAAAAATCCTTAAAACCAACACAAAAAAAATGTATCTTACCTTTCCGCTCTCCTATGTCATTTACTTCTAAAGCAAGGCGCAGCGATTTCCCGAATCATTTCTTCTACTAATGGCATTTTTTATGACCAGTCCACATGCATTCTGCGTCTGCGGTGCCAACACTAATAATCTGACAAGCAGCTCAGCCGCTCCTAATGCTTTTCTTTATTTTTTGTCGATTAGGAAGGAGATGAAAGCTGATGACAATAAAACAAACACGAAAGAACAATCAGTGGATCTTATAATCTCATTTGTTCCTCTCAACTG